CCGGGTTCTACCCACTGTTCCTGGCCTCTAACCGGGTTCTACTTACTGTTCTGGGCTCTAACCAGGTTCTAACCGCTTTCTACTTACTGTTCTGGCCTCTAACCGGGTTCTAACCGTGTTCTACTTACTGTTCTGGCCTCTAACCGGGTTTTACTTACTGTTCTGGCCAAGTTCTAACCGTGTTCTACTTACTGTTTTGGGTTCTAACCGGGTTCTACTTACTGTTCTGGCCTCTAACCGGGTTCTACTTACTGTTCTGGCCTCTAACCGGGTTCTAACCAGGTTCTACTTACTGTTCTGGCCTCTAACCGGGTTCTAACCGGGTTCTACTTACTGTTCTGGGCTCTAACAAGGTTTTAACCGCTTTCTACTTACTGTTCTGGCCTCTAACCGGGTTCTACTTACTGTTCTGGCTTCTAACAAGGTTCTAACCACTTTCTATTTACTGTTCTGGCCTCTAACTGGGCCCTAACCGGGCTTTAACCGGGTTCTACTTGATGTTCTGGCCTCTAACCGGGTTCTACTTATTGTTCTGGGTTCTAACCGGGTTCTACTTGATGTTCTGGCCTCTAGAACCCCCCCCCCCACCCACCGGCCTCGTCCAGGATGAAGCCCCCGTGCCGGGGCTTTTTCCGGGGCCGATCTTCGTCCTCGTCCTCCTCCTCTTCGTCGTACTCCTCCTCGTCCTCCAGGTCCTCCCCCTCCTCCTCCGCCACCTTATCGCTGCCCACGGGGCTCCCCGTCTCCTCCTGGAGGAGGAGGTGCTCAGGTTAGGAACCATGTGGGGGGGGGTTCCCATTGGCTAAGGGATCCAGAGCTCAAAGCTGATTGGCTACCAAGGGAGGAAGCTCCAAACTACCAAACATTCCCCCTCACACAGGTCAAAAGAGCTGATTTAATGCTAAAAGGATTAAGAAAACTTAGTTTTTACACCAAAAGCTTAGATAATCTGCATAAATTCATTTGGGAATGAGATAAATTACTAAAAGAACCCAAAACAATTCAGAATATATCAAATTTAAACGTTGAATTTGCACTAAGTGATGAAAAGAAATCTGTTTTTACACCAAAAACTTAAATATTCTGCATAAATTCAATTAGGAATTAAATAAATGACTAAAATAACCCAAAATAAATCAGAATATCTCAAATTGAATAGCTCTAACCGCTTTTATCCTCCAGAATCAGCTCTTATTTCCACTAAATGAGCTCTGTTCCAGCATAAATTACAGACAGAAGCAGAAACAGGAGTTCTGGAGCTGAAACAGGCTCACTGAGAAGCAGAAACTCAATATTTGGTGAACTTTATTAACTTTTTCCTTTATAAGCAGCCCAGCTGAGGGGACAGAGGGTGGGAGGAAAGGGGAACAACACGCGAAATAACCACTTGTGGAAATTAGTTTTCTTTAGTTTCTTTGTTTGTTTTTCCTCCAAACAAGAACCCAGAAGTTCCCAGTTTGGACCAAGTGGCTCTTTGTCCCCCTGAGGGTCCCCACCTATTCTTCTCTCACCCCCCTCTACCCCACTAATTTACCCAATGCTACGTTCAACATTTTCTGGTCTGTCGTTGGACATTCAATATTTATTTTATTATTTATTTTATTCTATATTGTTTTTCTACATTGTATGTCCTTTCTTATTTCTCATAGAAGTGTTGTGCACCAAAACACCAAAGCAAATTCCTTGTAGGTGACAAAACCTACATGGCAATAAACCTAATTCTGATTCTGATAAACCTAATTCTGATTTATCTTATCATAGTTTATCTCATATTAACACGGTCCACCTGGCCGGTGATGCTAGCGGCTATAGCCGGTGATGCTAGCGGCTATGGCCGGTGATGCTAGCGGCTATGGCCGGTGATGCTAGCGGCTATAGCCGGTGATGCTAGCGGCTATAGCCGGTGATGCTAGCGGCTATCCCACCTCGTTTTCCACCTCCTCCGCCTCTCCTTCGCTGCTCCGGTCACTCTGGTTGTCGGAAAAATCGCTGTCCTCGCTGTCAGACATCTCGACGCTGCCGGGAGGCCGAATTGAGCAAAAACAGAACAAGAAAAATGTTAAATCCTCTGGCGAGAGAAGGTTTTATAAGCTAAGCTAGTTTAGCAAAGCATGCTAATCCGGTTAGCGTAGAAGAGGCGGTTCTTATTCATGCGAAATAGCATGAATAAAAACATAAATTAATCATCACAGTGGATTTGACTTACGTGGTGTGTTGGTCTGTGGGACTTATATCCTGCTAGTTGGCGTATAAAGAAGAATGTTCGCTTATTTTGGTAATGCTAGACGTATTATCAGGAAGCCGCGAGATTTCAATGGGGTCTGCACAAGGTCTCGCGGGAATTGGGCTTCAGCCAAACAGACAGGCGGGCTGGCTCACTCTGTTTATTTTCTCACAGCTGGACTTCCGTCTGTTTATATTATGTTTTGTGATGCGTTTTTTTTAACTATAAACAGTTTAGATATGTTAGGAAAGATAGAATGTGTGGAATTCAGACTTCAAATGACAAATATCGCTGTCAGTTTTTTGGGACAAAGACATCATATCAATAAAATAAAATGAAAACTACCCAATTATTCTCTCTTTTTTTTAAGAAAATGAATTATACAAGGTTTTGTTTAACAAAACTACAATAAAGTTTGTTTTATAAGTAACTAAATCGCGTAAAATTAAGATAAATAAAATAATACTCCGTATATTCATAATATATGTAGTTTATTGAAGGATAAATAAATGTTTCTTGGTATTTCAGACGGTAAATCTCATCCTGGGTTCAAAATAAACCGCCAAACAGTGAAGTGTTGGTGAGAGTAAACAGAGTGGCTCCTCTTTATCGGCATATCTCTTTTCCGGTCTACGCTCTACGTCATGACGTCACGGCTCAAGGAGAGCGACGGACTGCGCATGCGGACGCTGGCTTGCGGTGGAAATCGGTCAGATTAAGCTTTTTGGGCCGTTTTCGGGCCGTTTTTGGGGCCGTTTTCCGCCGGTACCGGAGATGAACAGCGTCGGGGAGGCCTGCACGGAGCTGAAGCGGGACTACGACCAGTGCTTCAACCGCTGGTTCGCCGAGAAGTTCCTGAAGGGCGACCGCAGCGGGGACCCGTGCACGGAGACCTTCCGGAAGTACCAGCACTGCGTGCAGAAGGCCATCCGGGAGAAGGACATCCCCATCGACGGTGTGGAGTTCATGGGCCCCAACAGGGACAAGCCTGAGAGCTGACCCCCCCCCCCACTGTCCGCCCTGACCGGTCCGGCGTCCATGAGGCCCACTGAGCATGCGCAGAAGCTGAGGGACTGACACAGGACCCACCTGGTCTGCTTTGAGGGGCCCAGAACCAGGAAGAAGATGGTTTTGGGGACTTGATCTGCAATGTGGGGGGTCAGAGGTCAGAGGTCAGCGTCCCTCCGGCTCCATCGGCTGCAGCAGACTTTTGGTTGTTGTTTTCCTGAGTTGTTTGGTGTTTTTGTTGTTGTTTTGCTTCTCAGAGACACTTGAAAAGAAGCCAAATCACGTCTGAAGCGGATTTTTGGGGGTTATGCCTCATTTCTCTGTGTCTTTGTGTGTCTCTGACCCGCAGTTTTACAACTGAAAGGGGGGCGGGTCTGAGCTGGATCCAGGATCTGGGTCCAGAGGATCCAGGATCCGGGTCCCTGTGGCTGAATCATGTTTTTAGGCATTTTCTGTAGTTTCTCATTTTGGGGGTGTTTCAGTTTGCTGCTGTTTTGAACACATAAAGAAACACAAATAAAATAAATAAATAAGATAACAAATAACAGTCAGATGGTTTGTTGTTTTAACCAAAATAAAGTAAAAACTGCTCCTCTGTTTGACTCTGTATTCATTTTTTCTGCTCTTACAACTCAGTTATGTCATTGTTTTACTCAAATAACAGCTTACATGAAGTAAAATCATTTAAAAAATAACCTTTATATCTCTCTAGATGAAGGAAAATCATTTAAAATGAGCTTGTTAAGGTCTTTAGATGAAGGGAAATCATTAAAAATATTCTTTTTTTAGGTCTTAGATGAAGGAAAATCATTAAAAACATATTTTTTAGGTCTTTAGATGAAGGAAAATTATCTTTTTTAGGTCTTACGATATAGAAAAATAATTAAAAATCAATTTTTTTAGGTCTTTAGATGAAGGAAGATCATGTCGTGTCCAAAGAGCTCATAAATCTGAGTGTTTCCACATGCAGCCGTCTCTGCTCTGCTGGAGTTAAAGGAAAAACAACCGAAATGAGCTGTCTGGGCTCCAAAGTCTACTCTGAACCCTCCAGCTTTACCAGACTGGCGCCTTTTTGCTTTTGAAGAAGCGGAAGACGTTTGTTCTTTTGCTAAACCTGGTTTTTCTGATCACTTTGAGACAGAAAACATGGATTTCTACTAACGAACACTTTAAAATAAAAGCCGAACTAAATGGTGATGACATTAAATGCTCAAATAATGCATGTTTGGGGGGAAAACCGCCTCTAATTGCTGACATTTGTGCTGGTGTTTCATTTCGGTCATGAGAAAACATCAGAATCTGAAGCATTTAAACCCATTTGGTTTGTTTCCTTGCTAAGTTTTCCTGTTGCCGGGTGAAATGTGTTTTTTTTTTGCCTAAAAAGCTGGTTTCCTTCAGCTTCGGGGATAAAATACGACTGCTTTTCCCCATCAAAACACGTGTTGCTCATGGTTTTAACATTCAGAAAACACGTGTTTCCAGTTTCCATGGAGATAAAAGTGTCTGTTTGTGGCGAGAGGGGCTTTAAAAACTGGATAAAGAACACATCAAGAGCCTGTCTCCACACAGTTGGTAAACAGAGTCCCTGCCGGGGCTTTTTTAAAGTCTTTGTTAGCAGAAAGCCAGAAACATCTGCATGAATTTGAGAGCGAGAGCACAGAGAAGCAGCTGCTGCCCATCAATCTGAATTAAAAGGTCGTTTGAAACCGTCTGGACTCATCGTCAACAGAGAGGAAGCTCAAACTCAGCTATGAGTGGATCCAGACCCCCCATTCCCCACGAAAGCTCCCGGTTTAGGGCAGAAAACAGCCTCGTTTTGGCTCAAACTCACAGAGAAACTCATTTTAAAGCTGAAAAACTGCTTCGTTTTGGACCAGAAAGTCAGTATAAAGCAAAAAACAGCTTACTTTTGGCTGTTAAACTCAGTTTAAAGCAGAAAAACAGCCTCGTATTGGCTTTAAAACCCAGTTTAAAGCAGAAAACCAGCCTCCTTTTGCCTCAAACTCACAGAGAAACTCAGTTTAAAGCTGAAAAACCGCTTAGTTTTGGACCAGAAACCCAGTTTAAAGCAGAAAAACAGCCTTTTTTGTCTCAAACTCACAGAGAAACTCTGTTTAAAGCTGAAAAGCTGCTTAATTTTGGCTCTAAAAACTCAGTTTAAAGCAGCAAACTGCCTTGTTTTGGCTCGAACTCACAGAAAAACTCAGTTGGACCCATTTTAAGCCCATTTAAGAACCAGTTTAAACACTTTAACCCGTTTTAATCCTGTTTTAGAACCATTTTAAACCCGTTTTAGGCCCGTTTTAGAACCATTTTAAACCCGTTTTAAGCCCATTTTAGAACCATTTTAAACATGTTTTGAACCCATTTTAGAACCGTTTTAGAACCATTTTAAAACCGTTTTAAACCCGTTTTAAGCCCGTTTTAGAACCATTTTAAACCCGTTTTAGAACCATTTTAACGCCGTTTTGAACCCGTTCTTAGCCGTTTCAGAACCATTTAAAACCCATTTTAAACCCATTTTAAACCCATTTTAAGCCCATTTTAGAACCATTTTAAACCCATTTGAACCCGTTTTAAACCCGTTTTAAGCCCATTTTAGAACCATTTTAAACCCCTTTTTAAACCCGTTTTAAACTCGTTTTAAGCCTGTTTTGGAACCATTTTAAATCTGTTTTAATCCCGTTTTTGAACCGGTTCCAGACTGGAGACTGTGAGTCAGACCTTTATTGATCAGGAGCTCATGGAAATCGCTCCTCTGTGAAAACAAATGAGTCCGTGGCTCAGGAGGCGTGTGTGGAAGCGTCCGTCCGTCTGGGGGGGAGGAGGGGGGGGGCCCACATAGTCCGGGGGGGGTGGGGGTTCCTCTGGGCCTTTGGGTTCCTCTGGTTCTTCGGGTTCCTTTGAGCTGGGGTCTCCGTGGGACAGTTCCTCGCGTTCACCATCTTCAAAGTGTCCACAAGCTCAGAGAAGAAGGAGGAGGAGTTCCTCTCCGGGAAAAGCTCACACTGAGGGCAACCCGACTCCACCTGGGGGCAGAAAGAGAAGAACCAGAGGAGAACCAGAGGAGAACCAGAGGAGAACCAGAGGAGAACCAGAGGAGAACCAGAGGGGAACCAGAGGAGAACCAGATATTCCCGTGTATTACCAGATATTACCAGATATTACCAGATATTTCCAGATGTTCCCAGATATTCCTAGATGTTCCCAGATGTTTCCAGATATGTTCCCAGAGGAGAACCAGAGGAGAACCAGAGGAGCCCCAGAGGAGAACCAGAGGAGAACCAGAGGCGAACCAGAGGAGAACCA